CGACGACGACAATTTCGCTATACAGTGATTTTCTTGGAACGGATTATCGTTGTCAGGTGGGGCACCATTGTATTCTCCCATATGGCTATTGCGGCATCTTTTGGGTTTTTTAAATATTGTAAGCTGCCTAGGATACTTTTTGGAAAAAGACAGTGAATGAATGAATGAATGAGGATGTATTTTTGATTACTTTTAAAATTTTATTTCTAGGTAGACATAATATGTGGTGATCACTTACTAGAAGACTACCAGACACTAAGGGAAATCAGACAGGCTCTCGGGGAAAGTGCAGTACAGGTAAGTTAGTGTGAAATCTACTAGAGGAGGTGAAACTTTCACAGAAATGCATTTCATTTTAGTAGGCTTCCTATAGTTTGGTGTAGGACAAAAGTATGCACAATCTCCAAGAGCTATATGTGGCAATGAATGGTTGGTTGAGAGTCATACAGACTCAAATGCACAACATTACCGATCATTCACCACAAATCTTCTGCAATACAGATGTTCCAAATTCCCAAAGCAAACACATGATTCTTCCTCCGTCTCTGTGTATGGAGATAAGGAGGCTTAAACTCCCCCATGCTCTGGAGTCCATACTACATGTTACATTAAAGATGTAGTGTGTTACTAGCCTTTTGTCTTTCCTAACACTAAGTATGTGGGCCTCCACTGGCTGATTTTTGGCCTTAAATTTCAATGAGATTTTTCAAGAGGAGCTAATGTGGCCCATTGAACAAGAGATACTATACTAAATTTTCTGTAGTTTTCAAGGTCCTGTGCAATTTGTAATTTTCCTGGAAGATACTAACATGTCTGCCCCTTTTGAAGTCTTTTATGGTGACTCTGATCTGGCCAGTAGTTGTAGAATTTTCACTACTGCAATTGTACTCTAGTTTTGATTTAAAACTTTTGATTAAAAGCAAACTGCTTTGTTAATGGCATCCTGTTCCACATTAGAACTCTCCAGAAACACTCATTTCACACGTTGATGTTCAAGTGTTAACTATATATCCCAGATGAGGTGTCATTGGAGACTGTGACTAGAAGCAAATATGTTTAATTTTTACTGTTAGGAGACCCACCCTATGTTACTCTGCCAAAAGAATATTTACTATTTCAAATGTTTTTTATTTCATTGGACAATAGCATTTTGTTTTAACAAAATTGCCTTTTAAATGCCTTTGTCTTGTGAGCTAAATTTGAAATCTGTTTGTAAAGAAGGAGTAGGTGATTTTTCCTGCTAGATTTGTAGCACTCTCAATATGTTTCCCCTTTTCCTGCAAAGCATATGCTGTATATATAACGGGAATCTGTGGTTATGTCAGTGTTACTTAGTACATGTACATATTTACATGTATTTAGAGAGACCTACTGTATCTGCCATTGAACCTTGACCATCACTGGCAAATGACTGTGCCCAGGAAAAATAGGTAGGCTTAATAGTTAAGTGCTGCTTCCCTTGCTCCTGGTGAATGACCAGTTTGGAGGATCTTGTGTTTTATACTTCAAGAACTGAAAACAACTTTTCATTAGGTGGTATAAGAAAATCTAACTCTGCTAAGCCGTTGTTTTTCCATTTATTGGTTGTGCTGAACTGTTTCCAAATATGATTTCCTTTTGCTTTCTAGGATGGCTTACTTGTACTTCATTACGGCTTGATTCTTAGCAGAGATTCTACATTTTCAAGAATTTCTTAAATAGCATTAGTCACAGAGCTCTGGCGAAGTAAACAATCTTCAATCCTGAACAGATCCAGAGAAAGTCATCTTATTGGAAAGTATTAAACATATACTGCTGTTTGCTCCACCTAGTAAGGTAGGATAAAACATAAATTGGTGACGAAAAAGATATACTGGCTGAAATCCTGTTGTATTGCTATGCAGAAGGCATAACTTTCAGAGGTGAACATTCGGAGATTTCTCAAATTAAAAAATATCTGTAAATGGTATCTGTTGCACTCTGAGTTACACAACTCAATTTGCAACAGATAATGGTTATGGAGATTTCTTAACTTGAGGCAGTTCACCTCCAATGGCTATGCCTTTTGCATAGCAGTGTAACACGATTTCAGCCATTATGTCAGTGAGCATAGCTGTGAATACTTCATTGCAGTTATGTCAGCAGCACTTAGTAGCTCAGGGAAGAACAAACTTGTCAAGTTGACAATGTCTATTTCAAATGTTATTTGGGTCATGGTGATTTTATAACTTGCCTTTGGGATATGAATTTGAGACAAGTATTTATTTGAAAAGAATCAAATTGTGTGATGTGTTCTCAGGGATGATTTCCAGTATGCAGTGTCTTACTTGTAAAGTCATGTGATTTTCTTGAGGACATTTGATTGTACAGTAGTTGGTTTGGTTTAGAAATAGTAGAGAAAAACTTTCAGATGCATCTCCTAAATAGAGTGCAGGATAATTACCTTTTTAAAAAATTGCAAGCATTATACCTCATGTTTTATGTGAGGAAGAGCATTAAATTATGTAATGTATCAGATTAATAAAAAGGGAATTTGATGCATGTCAGTTATACAACAGACAATGACTATTCTTCACCCAATATGAATAATATATTTTACAGTTCCTGTAGAGCTATTTCTTTGAAAGTAATTAAGAACCTGATTATATTCCAACGGGTGTCAGTGACCAGACTTTGCTCTAGCAACTTCATTAGATGGAATACAAGGTTACGTACTTCTTTACCTAGCTTTTGTGACGCTTCCTCAATAGTCTACTTCTCATATCCACTCATTTCTGTTCCTGGCCTGCAGTCCTTCTCACATTTGCCACCTTCTGCCTCCATATTATATTCCTTTCATATATCTGTTCTATTGTATTCTGTATGTCTCTGTAACTGCCGCTTTTGATCCCTCAGCAGAAGAGACTTGGCTTGTGTCACATATAAACGAGCTTCAGGAAATACCTTGTGTTCCCAACCAATAGTAGCAATATGTATGAACAACATATAACAACATATAACAATAGAGTTTCATTTTAAATGTTGACCAAAATCCTGTTGTATGCAATAAATCCATGTAAGGAAAGTGACCTCACTGGGAGTGGGATTGCTGGTAATTAAAGAGTTTTTGCTTTTGGAACTCACCAGCAATTAGACTGATCAGGGTGAGTTGTGGGTGGGTCATGTGACCCCCAACATTGAAAGAGAATTTCTTTAATTACCAGCAATCTTCCCCTGCAGGTGATGTTATACCCTTTATTTGGGCATAATTTACATAACATAATTTTGGCCATAACCTATAACAGCAATGGCAAGCCTATGGCACTCATACCACAGCTGGCATGTAGAGCCCTCCCTGTGGGCACACGAGCCATAAGTCGCCATCGAGGAATAATTACCCATCCTCCGAACCTGCAGAGGTTTTCTGGAGCCTTGATAGAAGTGGCCCTGTTACCAGAGGCAGTAACTTTGAGGCTTTCCTGATCACTTATAGATAGAAGATATATAGTTACTGAGACAATTTCTGTGTGTGGATAAGGATGCAACATCTTTCTTACTTTCCTTCTTCCTTTTTTGCTAACCTTGGTTCATTATGATAATATACAGTACTACAATAGAATTGTAATTCTGTGGGCAAAAGGACACTATAAATGTTAATTTCTAATCTAAAATGCTTTTAAACTTGGTTTGCATGTGAAAATACAGTGCTTTTATAAAGTTAACTTTGCTGCAATATATTTTTGGACTGTGGATATTCCTATATATTTACATATTTTATATTTAAAATATCCAGATTTTTTTCAGGATTTCTATAAAAGCAATGATCAGAAGGAAACAAAATGATTTTTGTGACTATTTTTATGTAGTGTGTTGAAATTAAAAATTGTAAATGCATAAGGTTATTTTTAGGGGATGACTTCCCAAATGAAGAAATAAATAGTAGTACCATCTGACTATGCTTTTGTGGGAGAGAGGGATCAGAATGAAGTAATCAACAAATTACGTATAAACTAAAAAGTGACAATGCAAGCTGTAGTCAGTAGTGAATACATGAACACTCAAATGTTATATTTTTAATCTCTTTAAAAATAGTCATAGAATATCAATCTCCTTAGATGTCTAGAAATTAGTTCATATAACATTCATTTGTATAAGGGCCTATGGGGGTGAGGGTGGGTAGGAAATCTGCTTCAAAGAACTTGGTAAAACACATTATTTAATCCAGAATTGTTAAACACAAAGAAAAAATCAATTCATTTGAAATGTGGTGGCAGAGGAGAGCTTTGCAAGTACCATCAGTGGCATGACAAATACATAAGTTCTAGATCAAGTCTGAACTCTGACCAGAACCTAAGATAACCTCAATGTACTTATCATACTTATTATAAAAAGAAAAGACTTACTGGAAAAGAGAAAAAAGTAGAAGTCAGAGGGGAAAAAAGGATGATCTAACATGAGGTGGATTGGCTCATTAAAGGAAGTCACAGCCTTTAGTTTGGAGGATCTAGACAGACTTGTAAATATAGGACATTCTTGAAGTCATTAATTCACGGGGTCACCATAAATCAGAAGCAACTTGTTGGCACATGAACACAGAAGAAAAACCCTTGCTTAGGAAAAATTAGCATGGCTTTTCCAAATGGAAGTTTGCTTCACATATAGCAGGTGAGCACATTATGTATACCTGGACTTTGAAAAACTTTTGGTCCAAAGACACCACTTAAAGGCCATAAGACAGAAGACCAAGCAAAGTTCTTGAAAAAGATTTTCACTAGTGTGAAGCCACCACTGTAAGGTCCAAGCATTCAGCACATGGCAGAGCCTCTGAAATTAATATTGAGACCAAGAATCAATCAAATGTCTATTGAATGGTTTAAAAATTTATACTGGGACTTTAAATGGTGCATAGAAATGGACTGAATGATCCATAGGATCCCTTCCAGCTCTGCAGCTCTAAGATGATGATGCCAACAATGACTTTGTAAGTGATATAAAATTGATGCAGCAATCAAAGTGCCTAGTAACCTGGGGTCACAACCCCCAAGGGGATCGCAAAGGGTTTTCAGGGGGGTCACCATAGTTTAGACTGTGGTCATGGCAGCAAAGGCTCTCTCTCAAGGCCACAAAAAGTGACCAGGCAGGACTTTGTCATACCTTGTTGTACATGGCAGAGACTGAGTTCCACCCCGCTACCTGTGATGGGAGAAGATGTCTGGTAGGGTCCTTTTTATGCATTGGGGGGGGTCACAGGTTACATGGGTATTATAGAAGGGGATTATGACTCAAAAAAAGATTGGGAAACAGTGATGTAAAGCAATGCACATTGCATTAAAAAACTCAACTGGGGTCTGAACCAACAGCAATTAATTACCATGTTTCCCCGAAAATAAGACAGCGTCGTATATTAATTTTTGCTCCAAAAATGCTTATTTTCGGGGGATGTTTTTTTTATGTACAACAATCTACGTTTATTCAAACACAGTCATGTCATCTTCTTCTGGTTGGTGCACTCTGGTGGAGGGCGGAGTTTCACTTAATTAGGGCTTATTTTTGAGGTAGGGCTTATATTACAAGCATCCTGAAAAATCATACTAGGGCTTATTTTCAGGTTAGGTCTTATTTTCAGGGAAACAGGGTAGGTGAAAGGTCCTGATGACATGGCCAACAGCATAATAAATGTTAATCAAGTGTTTATTGAGCAGTGATCATGAAGAACACATTGTTTCAGGCAACAAACCACAAAGAGTCATTACATAAGTAAATACTGCATAGCCTAAATCTCTTTCAGAACTTTTAGAATCTGTACAGACTAAATCTCTTTCAGAATTTTTAGAATTTTCCGGCTAAACCTAACTTAGTTTAAGAAGACAGTCACTTGGAACTTAACATAGTTAAAGTTTAGCTGGTTATTTCTGCAGTAACCCACAAGGCCCACGAGTAATCTTTTTATGTTTTGTCAGTTGTGAGACAGCAGTACTGCTCAAAGTAATCTTTTTTGGGGGGGGATGTGAATTGATTAAGCTCAGCACCCTTTGGTAAATCTTTTTAAATAGATGTTCAAAAGCAGGGTGCTAGCACACAGTCTTGCCTAGCCCCCCGCCCCAAAAAATGTGTGGATCACATTTGAGAGTTGGCTTTCAAAGCCCCATCTCACCTGGGCAGTGATGTAATAATATAGCAGTTTAATTAAGGACAGCAAACAGGATTCAATAGATAAGTCTATAAATTTCCTCAAATTGGGAATAGAATCAAATGCTGATTTAAAATATATGAAAGCAGTGAGTAAAAATGAGGAAATTCTGTGTTAAGAACTGAAAAGGTCATTATGCTGTTCCTTTTATATATACTGTACTTATGGTGCAGTTAACTTGAAATACCGTGGACAGTTCTTGCTGCCCTAACTCAAAGATATTGTAGAGTGTTACCAAATGCAGAAATGGATAAACATAAAGAATTGATCCACTTTTGATACAAAGAAAAGTCAAACTGCTTCAGGCATAGAGAAAATGAAACAAGGCACAAAAATAAAAGAAATTTAAAAATATGTATGGTATGGAGAAGGCACAAAGAAAATGTTCTCCATGTGGAATTCATTAATACATTCAAGTTGTTCAGCAGTAGATTCAAGGAAAAAGGAAGTATTCACATAACACAGATATGATTACCAGACCTTACTCGAATTAACGATCACCGATTGCTCCACTGATCCTCCTTTTACTACCTCCAAGTACCACTTGCTTGATTGGGTTAGCTCAATGTTTCTGTGGCCTGCTTTTGGGCAGCCCCCTGTTAAAATCAGGATACTGGACTATATATGTTTCTGATCCACTGGAACTTTTTTTCTGGAAGTATCACAATAACATGACTGTTAGGGAAATCTGTTGTGGGGGAAACCTCTATTTGAGGCCTCAGAATATAATGCTGTATTATTTTCTTATGGTGAAAATACTCTGAAAGACTGCTCTGCTTTCCTTGCAAATTCAGTTGATCCTGCAATGATTTCAGAGCAGCTAGTGGGATGCTGCAGGGATATAAATCTTTAAACAGCTGAAGAAATGAATTAATCATCTCTTCTTGCAGCCACTGAACATATTTTTCTTCCCTTTTTATTATTCATATTGACAGGTATGATTGCTGGTAAGGATGCAGACAGGAAATTATGTAATACCTTAATTTTTTGTATTGTAAAAAATATTTGTTTTAGAGAAACTTTTACAAATGGATCTCAAGAGATGACATACTGCCTTGCTTCATCACAGGACCCTTCAAGAAATACCATATGAAGCAAAAGGAGCACACACCCACATCCCAAATCAACAAACTGCGAAGGGTAGATATTACTAAAACATTTATTTTGGGAAGAACAGCCTATAGTTCCACAGACATTATGAAGTAAGCGAATAGATCTGTCTATAATCTCAATTGAAATAGGGACTGGAATAATGAGAAACATATGTGATAGAATGCTGGAGGCATTCAAGGGAAAGCTGGACAGTCATCTGTCAGATCTGCTTTGATTTGGATTCCTGTATTGATCAGGGAGTTGGACTCAATGGCCTCTTCCAACTCAATTATTCTATGAAGACAAAAAGTCACTAGAGTCTGTCTCAGATCAAGAATAACTCAGAGCAGAGGATAATGCTTAAAAACACTTCTATTTCATTAAGTCAGATTTCGAGACTGAGACTGATATGTTTTCAAAGCTGCATCAGTTTTACTGCAGTGCCTTATTTCCTAAGAAGCCAGCTCGGTTCTTATTTAAAAGAAGGCTGTAATTAGTTTACAGTTTGACCCTGCAGGTTTATTAGGTATATTAATCATTTATAACACTGAAATATGCTGCAAAGTGAAGGCAGCTCACATACCTTCAAAAGTCAATGTTTGTGCATGAGATGCTCTTGCTCAGGACAATTGAGTAGCCTAAGTAGCAGGCTAATTTAACACTTTTTTGATGGCAAAAAGGACTACATGCCCTCTTTCAGCAGTAGATTTCCCACAAAGGAATCATTATCATGCTGCCACCAGCTTTGATCTCATGTCATTTGATTACTCAGCTATAAAGACTACAGGCATGCCGTGCAATTGCAAGTAAGGGACAGGCCATTTGACATTGCAAGCCCCCCTCATTGTTTGGGGGTATATAAAGAATCAGTCAAAAGACTTGGAGATCATTAAAGTGACTTAACAACCCAGCTAAAGGCCCCATAGACAATATATGAATTTGTAGAGATCATATAAATATCTCTAGTATGATTAAGATTTGAAACAACCACAGGCAAGTAGTTGAAAATGAATGTTCAGATTTCAAAAGGAAGCGAAGTTGAAAAAAGTTCAAATATTTTCTTCTTCTTGCTTTGGCCTGAAGGGGAAAATAGCTTGAAGATCACACTCCAGTACTTAAAGTCAACATGGGACTCATGACTCCTCTACTATGCTATTGTTGTTGTTTAGTCATTAAGTCGTGTCCGACTCTTCGTGACCCCATGGACCAGAGCACACCAGGCTTTCGTGCCTTCCACTGCCTCCTAGAGTTGTGTCAAATTCATGTTGGTAGCTTCAATGACACTGTCCATCCATCTCGTCCTCTGTCGTCCCCTTCTCCTCTTGCCTTCACACTTTCCCAATGTCAGGATCTTTTCCAGGAGTCTTCTCATGAGATGGCCAAAGTATGGGAACCTGAGCTTCAGGATCTGTCCTTCCAGTGAGTACTCAGGGTTGATTT